CGCGATGGAACAGTGACAAGGACGAGAGAGAGACATATATGAGTGTGTGTGTGAATGAGAGAGAGAGAGGGGCGCGACAGAGAGAGATGCGTCAGGGCCGCTTGGGTACATCAGACAAACGACTAAATGTGGCTGTGCCAGAATTGGGGTATGACGTTTGAGGTTGGAGAGGCCGCGGGCCCCGTTCGCCCCGCTCGCAGCGCGTCAAGGCGCTCCCGCACGCACACGCACTTTCGCGCACTCTATTATGCTCACTCTATTATGCTCACTCGGTGATTGGTGTACCAGGCCCCGGGTGACAACACTGCTAGGGCCTACTGCTGCTGCTGCACTGGTAAAACAGGTGTTTAATTTTGCACCTCAATTGCCGTTTAAGTTCAAGTGTGCATTTTCTAGACACTTTGTGATGTCTAACTATGTTATACGTCAGTTGGTGTTTAAACTTTCGACACTTTCGAAACGTATAGCAGCTGCACACCGTACACTGTTAAAAATAACTGTCACCTGACGACATACTGCGGGATTGACACCCCTGTTATGTGACAGAAATGTTGTTTTCATTTGAACACTCTCGAAACTTGTGATATTCGGCCCATATTGGCCCACAACAAAAACTACTACGCATTACTTTGCTGTACATTTACAAGAAAAGAGACGTTAATTTTGTTAGCAGCACATTTCGTTCCAATACAGGAGACTCGTATTATTACAACTTCTTTTTTACAGGAGCAAAACAAAGTAACTGCTTTTGGTCGAAAACTTTGTTTCCGAGATTTTCATGAACGTTGCTGTTTTACAGTAATGCCTGTAAAAATACAGTATGTGCTGCTAACAAAATTAATCACATTTTCGCTGTAAACGTACAGTAATTTTTTTAACAGTGTATGGTTCCCTATTGACAGCATAGAACTGTGTGTGTCCAAGTGTGCAGAATTTAAACGTTTACACAACTAAATTTGCACACCACGCAATTTTGCAACTTGAGTTAAACACCATGTAATGTGCAAAATCACAACTTGCACACGTTGGTGTGCAAATATTGCACACTTGTTTTACCAGTGCGCTGCTGCTGCTGCTGCGCGCGCTATGAAAACGCAATCGCACCGGCCGCCGCCGCCGTGTGGCGCAGGCGCTCGGCTAGCGTTCGGGTCCGTTCGGCTCTCCTCGGCGCCGCCTTGGCTCGGCTCGTGTGCCCGCCAGCTGTGGTGCGGCTCACAGTCTCGCTTTATTGCCTTTAATTTGGGTTTATGCTGTAAATTAATGCAAATTGTCACACCAGGCGGGCCGGGCTCCGCCGGGCGGCAGGCAGCAGGGCCTGGCGCGGGGGCCTCTCAGCTGCTGTGTCTTTTTGTTTGCAGTGACGGGGCCCTCATTCGAAAAGAGGAGAAATAAAAGTCCAGCTGCAGAACAGTGCCGTCCAGTTAAAGCGAGTGGCGTTCTTTATTTTTCTTTCGTGGGGGATTAATTCTTGCTGGACTGCGTGCCTCTAATTGTACCCTAACAGACTAATGCGACCAATTTTAGCGCATAATTTTATTACAGACCGGCTGTGGAAAGTCATTGGAATTTTACATTTACCGGTCAGGAAATGGCGGTGTTCGATAATATCGATTCACTTCCTTGCGCCATGATGGATAGGGCTCGGCTTCCCTCGTCCTTTCGGCGACGAGCTTTTATTTCATAAAATAACTCACCGGTGGGCTGACCTGACCGCAGTAATTGAATTGGCTGCTCGACCAAGGCTGGAAGGCCAAACAGATTATAATTTCATTATTTCTCTTGCCGCTCCGACCGCCTCGCCGCGCGGTGCGCATGTCAATACGAAATCCGATCCATGTTTGTGCAAATAAATCATCGTGTCAACAAGGCGGGCAGCACGCCCGCCCGCCCTGCCCGGGGCACCTCCATTGGGGGCTGCTCCAGCCGGGCCTCCATTGGGGCTCCAGCAGCCCGACGGGAGGGCGGAGGTGAGGGAGGCCACTAAAAACTTTGTATGGCTCAAAGTGCGGGGACGTGGCGGGGCGTGGCCGGGCCGGCTGCGAGCTTTCAGCTTCAGCCGCGATAATTCCGTGTCAACTAAGTTAGCGGTACTTGTAAACGCCCGCACTGCAACGCAACTCCCGCCGTGTGTCTCCATAACCGACATGAGCCGCATACGAAGTTAATTTTCGTGTACAGGCGAAATGTATTTTCCTATCCGTGACTCCACGCCTAGCCTCGCGGTCCTCGCGACGTCAGCCCAGAGTAACTCGCTTAATTGAGCGCGAGCACGGGGCGGCGGCTGAGCGCCGTGACGAAACAAACGGTTCGGCGTGTCCGAAAAGAGAACCCTGCCAATCAAAGTAGTGTGACAGTCATAACTGTCTAACTAAAGCCTCACAATTTTAACTACAGTTCAATTTTTTGAGATTCAATTGCATATTTTTAAAGGTATCGTTTGAACTGTTTCAGCGTAAACCTTTCAATTTTACTGTTGAAACTGACATCTATTTTTGCCAGTAGATTTTTAGGCTGTTGCATTATTATCATGAAATGACGAAATTTATTAACAGTGCAGATGAAGTTTGATAAAATTTTCCTTCCCCCACACCTTTTACAAGTCCTAATAATGCCTATTTACTTTTTACAACGTCAAATATAAAAAAATGTGATTTTTATACCGATTTGCTCCTCTAGTTGCGGCTTGCGGCGAAAGTCGCTCGCACTGTTCCGCGGCCCCCCATGCTCCCCTCCGTCCCTTTCTCGCAGCTCCCCTACTCCACAGTGGTAATGGGTCACATCCTGGAGAAGAGCACACATTATATACCCTCTAATGTGTGTCATGAGGTTTTTCTCTTTATATTGAGCTAGGACGAGTCTATTTAAAAAGAAAAATGTAAATTGAAAACCGAGCTTAAATCATATTTCCTCGACAACGCAAAACGAAATACCCTTTCACTGGTAATGTTTTTGGCTAAATCAAATAAGGTAAAGGTGGTTGGTTTAAGTATTGATTTATTTAAAAGGGGAGAATTTGTGTTTACTAAACGCAAATTGATTAAATATTTTCCTTTGCTACCAATCTAACGCCTTTCTTTTCGTGTTTAGACAAATATTTTGAACCAAATCTAATATCTTGTCCGTTTAAATCCCAATTTAGTCAAATTATTACAAGTACAGCTGGCCTTTTTATTACACACACAAAAAGGCGAGCTCAACCTCTCCCAACCCGTTTATTTTCACATTTCAACATTAATGGAGTCTGCAAATGAAGAGCTTTTTTCGGACTGTCACTTTCACTTTCCGCCGGGAGTGGTCAGGAGCCGCGGTGCTGCCGCCACGCCGCGCCGCGCCCCGCCCAGCCCCGTCCAGAGCGGCGGATTAGAAGCGACGGCGCGGAGGGAGCCGGTGGTGTTGCGGGGTGGGGTGGGGGATGATGGCACCAACAGGATCATCTACTGCAACCCGTAATTACGTTACTCTCCATAGGAACCCTTCCCGCCAGGACCGACAGGCGTGCCGGGCGAAGCGGGTGAGGCGGGCATCGCGGGCCCCCCCGACACAGAGAGACAGCGTGGAGCAAGCTCGGTTGAAGCGCTCCCCAAAAGCTCCCTGAAGCACGACTGAGCCTGACCAAGTTGGCGGGTGGTTGTGCCTACAGCTGTCGAACACAGCGTCGTAGTGGTGGCGGTTGGCTTATTCCATCAGGAGGAAAGAGAGAGAGCATAGAGAACAGAGAAAAAGATACACAGCAGGAGAGGGCGCAAACGCCGAGAAGGGGGAGAGGGGGAGGGGGCGGGAGGCGAACAAGTGACGTTTATTAAGTTTTATATTAGGCGGGAAAGGGGGGGGGGCTGTTGTGTGCTGTCACTCAGGCTCTATTAACTAGTATCCAGTATGAGTTTTGATCACTTGTGGGTCAATAGATAATTTAACACCCGTCATCAGAGAAAAGAAAAATAATATGTGAATCTGAACCAAATATACTTGAACTACTAGCTGCTTACTTTGATGACAAAAATTCCCGTATGGCCGTTGCTGTAATGACATGTATCATGGTGACGTCAGACCATAGAGATCGGAAGCAAGGATCAGCCTATGCTTCCTCTCTCACAAGCGTTCTCTCTTTCTATCTCTCTCCATCTCTTCTTCTCTCTCTCTCACTCACACACACACACACACACACACACATCCATCGCACCAGCACAGAGCGAGACTCGCTGTTGTGTAATTAACGTTGAGCACCCTAATTGCCCACATAATAAAATATCAAGTGACGCTTGCGGGCCCCGCGCTGCGCTGCTCCACGCCTCCCCCTTTGCTTCGGTGCTGGCGGGGCCGAGCGGGGCCGCCACTCCAAATCATTAATTTTCAATCATTCGGGCTATCGCTGTGCTTTGTGCGGCTCGGCGGGAGCTTCAGCCGGTAGTTAATAAGTTGCTCGTCAAAATCTCGTTAATAGTTACATACACTTTGAAAGACGGATCGAATGCGGAGCTCGATAATTAAACGAGGAGGTGACAGTTCTGGGCCAGAGCTGGGGCGGATGCTGTGGACGAACACCTATACAGCGACAGCTTATGTTCAAGTACAGATCATTTGTCCCCTAGATCATTTGTCACGGCCTGAGCCGTGCGCCTCGCTGTACCGAGGAGCCCTGCTGCTGCCCGTGCACCTGCCGGGCCCGCGGGCGGGCTGGCGCCGTGGAGGTAGGCACCGTGGGAACACCTGTGTGCGGCGGGTCTGCCGCCCCACCAGGCGGCCCGGCCCCGGCCCCGGGAGGGGCCCGGCCGGCGGGGAGGCAGTCTGAGGCGGCAGCGCCGCGCGCACCCACTGGCGCCACTGCGTTGCGTTAACGTCTCCGCAAAACAAACCGGAACGTCGTCATGTCATCGACAGTGCGACAGCACGGTGGGGGTGGGTGACATGTGGACATGAGACAGATGACTACGTTCCCGCGACAACGTTCAGAGCAGCGAGTCGCTGCTTCTGATGTCACGCTCACTTCCCAACACTAACCGTGATGTCATGTTGTCGCACTAAAGACACTGCCAGCGAACAACGTGTATTTTTTACCCTGAAGGGTGTTATTCACTTGCTTTTAGCGGAAATGCGTATCCGATAATCACTTCACTGTCACTAGGGCGTCGCTGTCGCACACGCTCACCTTGTGGTGCTGCAGCACGGACAGGGCCCCTGCCGAGCCGAGGCTGTTGCTGAGGTTGGCGAGGGACCCGGGGGGGCCGTCGTCGCAGAGGAGGCCCCCCTGGCTGTAGAACGGGAGCGTCGCCGGCAGCGAGGCGCTGGAGGCGGGCGCCCCCCTGGGGAGCAGGGCGAGGCCGGGGCCGAGGCCGGGGCCCCCGCGCCACGCGGCGGAGATGGGCCCTTCCAGCACGTCAGCGCGTCGCGGCGCGGAGGCACGTGGTCTGGGCGCGACCGTCGCGCTGGGCTGCGGGGATGCTCGGCGCGCCACGTTCGGAGACGTTGTGTGATGCTGGGCGGACGGCGCTGGACCGGCGGCGGCGCGGCGGCCGGGGAGGGGGAGGAGCCAGGCGGCCGGGCGGAAGTGGGAGGAGCCAGGCCGTGGAGGGGGTGGCCCGGGCCGGCCGGGCTGCCATGGTGGCACCGCAGTGCAGGGCAGCGCAGGGTGGGGGAGGGGGTGCTGCTCGTCCGCGCTCGGCTTGGCTCGGTGCCGCTCGGCCCAGCTCGGCCCACCCGCCAGGCCTCTCACTGTCTCCCCGGGTTTGGTTTGTCTCGGTCTTGTTTACTCGCTTTATTGTGTGTGCTTTTTCTTCGCCCCTCCTCCCCATTCATCTCCCCTCCACACCGCTTTCCTTGGTTTGGGTGACAAAGGCGTTTTGGCGCAGGCCGAGGCTTATAGTACGTGCGCGCGTCTGCTGTTGGTCCAACTTGCGTCGCCTGCCTGCATCCGCTGGAGCGATTGTTTCAAAATGAGGCAAACTTATTGCCGCAAGTTTTCCCGCCGCTGTACGCCCATTTCACGGGTGGCTCTACGTTTATTTGCATTTCGTGCCGTTTTTCGTGGCCGTTTCGTCTTTATGACGGCCAGACGTAGTCAGGCGAATACTACGCGCTGTTTTTGTGCCGGAGAGAATTTCTTTTCCTAGACGTATATAAAAATTGGTTTACGACCTGCCCATACCCTCTGCCCTGAATATTTCAAAATACGCGGGCATGTAAGGAGTGAAGTACGAGAGGGAGTGGTGGAGCGCAACGGTCGGACGGATGTGGCTCGAATGCGTGACAGACGAGATGTTAATTCCCCGGAAGATAAACTTGCACACCAGCAAGCAGTTTACTGCAACATACAAATACATTTAGCGTGTAAAAACATTTTTTCTACACGTACCGTTTGCTTTCACTTATTGTAAAACTTAGTTTAGGGCGGTTTACAAGCCAGGTAGATGTACGCCAGACCACGTCTCGGGTAACAGGCTTCGCGATATCTCACGAAACACTGTTACGCTGAGACGCGCCTCGCATACATCTACCTAGACCTGCGTTGCTGACACCCGAATCGGGCAAATTGCAGAGTCGTGAAGAGGCCTTCGGTCTCAGAAGTCACAGATTTTAGTCAATTGGATTTTATTTTGACGAGTTACCCCAAGGAAGACCATCAAATATCTAAGTAAAACATGTATCTGCTAGGCTATTTCCGCGCGGAAAACTCTCTCTAGCGCCCAAACGGTTAGAAATAGAGCCAAATGGATTAATTTATCCCCTGGACTTAACTTTCACGAGTTACCTTTGGGAAAGATGTAGAAAAAAAGATTTTTCATACGAAACGTGGTTGACTTTTTGCTGTCTTTTTTTGGACAGGTCTAATTTTGAGCTAGAGGTCTTACAATCAATACAGTTCTTGCTCTTAATGACACGTTACAATAAAAATTTAACGTTCCTACCTCAAACCGTTCTTGAGTTATAGTGACGCGAAACTTTTTGATCATCACTGATCATCACTTCGCTAATCGCCCGGCCAATAAAATAACAATAATTATGTAGCCCCTTGGCTGTTGCAGTGTTAATCCCCCCAAAAATGAGTTCTTGAACCAGGTACAATTCCTTGAATTTTCAAAGTTAAGCCCTACATGTCTTGAATCAAGTGATATTTACATAGAAAATCTTTAATCAATGATACTTAGCCCAATCTCGTGTCATTATCTGTTGTTTTCCTCAGTTTACTTTTAGCCTGATATGTTGTTTTGAAAAAAACTACACGTTGAACCTTGCCGTATGTCGATTCATCCTCTCACCAGAAAGACTAAAACCAACGTAAACTAGAGTTTTTCAATTAGATGTTTAAGTTTCCTCAAGGGGCTAGTTTGTGGACTCTGGAAGAGACGATGTAAATTCTGCCAAACCCCTTTAACATCACACTGTTAAAAAACCTACAGGAGATGTCTACAGTGCGCCGTGTCAATTTGTCATCAGGTCAGCGACTGTGATTTTGAATTTCGGTCCACTCCAGGACGTACCGAAACTTCGCTAACCAATTTTTGGTCAATACAGCACTTGACTTAGACACTGAAGTACGGTCCATATCTTAACGGTCTGGTCCATATCGGATGATTAAAAAAAGACGCAGGGGGCTATGGTATGGTGTCGTACGCCTTACGGGCAGAGTGAGTAGGCAAACCCGCCACACCTGCATCTTCCCTGAATCTCCCGGTACATAAAATATACAGGACTGACCGTAGTTTTTGCTGAGCTATAGCGAAGCCTATTACTCTATCTATTCAGACAAAACTTTGTCTGTTCGTCTATCTGTTTGCACGAACGAATTGAGCTCAAATCAAAGAAATCAAAGACA